ATACACGTTTGGTAGGAGTGCCTAAGTTCCCATGAGAGTAGGTCTTTATAAAAAGAGCAAGCCTGGCCCCTCTCTGATCTCTTGCTTCCTGTCTCACCATGTGATCTCCTCCACATGCACTCCCACCATTGTAACGTCATCTCCATGAGACCCTCACCAGAGCCTAACAGATGCTGGCAGTGTGTTCTTGAGCCTCTGGTGGGTGGAATAACACTCTTTTCTTTTTCAAAGTACCCAGCTTCTGGTATTTTGTTACAGCAATACCAAAAGACTGAGACACTTGAAAAACATACTTACTGGTTCTCAAATAGGGTGCCTAATGAAACTATTCAAAAATACAAATGTGTTGGCTCTGTTCCAAATGGATCCAGTTGGAACTACTCATGGATACTATTTCACTTCAGGATTAAACTCAAGCAACACTTTCCCAAACCCAAAACCTTTAAGACCACTTAGCATCTTGTTTTTTCCAGCTAAAGGAAATTCAATGCCTTCATGTTGGAACTTCATGGGGAAAGTATGCATTGTCTAGAGGACACCCCTCCAAGTTTCCTGATTCAAGTCTGTCATTGTGTTTGAGATGTTCTTCCGTTCTGTAAATTATAGGTGACTGATGGCAATACAAAAAAACTTCTTTCTCGATACATTCAAATTATATAAATTATATCCTGGCTTGTAGAAGTTGAATTGATTTTCCTTTCCCTCTTTGGAAAAAAGCAGTTTTGCTTCCATTTGTACGTTCATTTCATCACACTTGACCTATAAGTGGGTCTCTCTTCTTGCGATTGTTTGTGACCTTGTTGTAATACCTGCCTGACTCCTTCAATGAGTATTGAGATGAATAAAATCTTAAACATGGGTCTCTCTCTCTCTCTCTCTCTCTCTCTCTCTCTCTCTCTCTCTCTCTCTTTGGTTATTGTCATTGTTACTGGATTGTTACTGGGGATTGAACCCATAGCTACTTTACCACTGAGCTTTTTATCTCCAGTCCTTTTTATTTTTTAACACAGTCTCCCTAAATTTCTAAGGCCTCAAACTTGTGATCCACCTGCCTCAGCCTCCTGAGCTACTGGGATTACAGGTCTGTACTACTGCACCTGCCTTATTTTTCTTCTTCTGGGAAAATTACCTTCAACATGCAAATAGCAAGTACTTTCCTTTTCTCTACTCTGGCCATCTGCTACTTTGCTTTGGTTGGAATTTACTCAAGGGAATTTCTCAGAAGAGAACTCCTGCCCTTGTTGTGCCTTTCCTCCATATGCATAATATCTACCATGGATTCCTGGAAGAACAGTGGAATAGCCAAAAATCTTTTATTTTTAATTAAAGGCAAAGAGAGATCAGGGCATTGACTCATCACCATCTCTTTTACAAATAAAATAGCATAAGCTAAACCAAAATTAAATAAACCCAAGATATTTTCACTGGACTCCCTCAGTGTTCTTTCTTGTTCCTTTCTCACTTGTGTGGTTGACGCTTCATCAACACTTACATGTACTAGAATTGTTTTATTTATAATACCTTTGCATGACGCTGTGGAAAATAAAAAGTACCTGTGATCTTCCTGAGTACACAGAATTAGTCTATAAAAACTATTATCACTTTAACTGGAGCTATTGGCCAGAACACATACACAACAAGTTTTCACGTCACTTGGGATTCCTTATACCATTGTGGCTGGGTTCCAAGGAGGAGCATCCTCAGAGACAGCCAGGAAGAAACTGTACCATCTTCCGTGGTGAGCCTCAGAAGTCACTAAGTACATTCTGCTGCATTCTGTTCAGGTCCACCTTTGAGAGGATGAGACCTAGGTAGCCCCTCAGGGCCTCGTGATTTAAAAGGGCCTCTTGTTTCTTTAACACCTTGCTGTCGCCACCTTGAAATTCTTTAATGATATCTGGACAGGAGCCCTTTGTTTTCATTTTGCACTGGGCCCCCAAAACTAGGTTGCCAGTTCTGATTTTTTTTTGTCCATGAAGCCACAAAGACCTGTCCAGACTCATAGGGTGGGAATATCAAGTTAGTCTCCTTTTATAATTGGTGCATTATAATAATACATAACCATGGGACTCATTATGCCATATTTGACTACCTTTTTGATGAAGCAGTAGATTTCTTGGACTGTTCTTGGAAATACTGTTGTGGCCTTTTTTTTAGAAAATGCTACCTGCCACAGAGGATTGATTTATGGAGAAGTTAAGACCAAACTGAACTTTTAAAAAACTTTTATAAACTTCCCAGCCTCCTGCAAAGACACCTTTGGGTCCTCCCTGCTCCACAAAACCCTCCTAAAGAGAAGCAAAGGCAGCTCAGCCCAGTGGCGCATGCCTGTAATCTCAGAGACTCAGAAGGCGGAGAGGAGAATCACAAGTTCAGGGCCAGCCTTAGCATTTAGTGAGATACTGTCTCAAATTTTTTTAAAAAAAGGTTGAGGATGTAGCTCAGTGGCAAAGCACCCATAGGATCAATCCCAATACCAAAGAAAGAGAGACAAAGGTGATATCAAAGTGTCCGTTTGTCCATTCAACAAATCCTGATTGAGTGCACACTGGGGGAGCATTTATAAATGACTCAGAGACCTTGTCCTCAATAGGCTGGAGCAAGAGTCCCAGCAATGGCTGGCACAAATGAAAGGAGAAGAGAAAGCAGAAGGTAAAGGATCAAGAACCCTGAGAACAAAGTTCTAGGGATGTCCAAGAGAGCCAGCTTCCTGGAGACATGGCATCTGTGTGGCCCCTCCCATTCATTCAACAACATCATTCATTCATTTACTGAACAAGTGTCATGTATGCCATTTGTAAGTTCCCACCCTGTTGGAGCTTGCTTTACAAGGCACACACCTGTTTGTCTCATCTACATCTGATTTAAATGACTTTTGGCTTTAGACTTTTGAATTTGGGCTGGAACAAGAACTTGGGGATTATTGAGATGGAGTGGCTATATTTTGTTTGTACAAAGGACATGAATTTGGGGGAAGGGATGTCATGGTCTGGATGCTGGTGTCCCTAACAAAATTTATGTTGAAATTAATATCCAATATGTTAGTATTAAGAGATAAGATCTCAGGCTGAGGGTGTGGCTCAGTGATAGTGCACTCGCCTGGCATGTGTAAGGCAATGGGTTTGATTCTCAGCACTAAGTATAAATAAATAAAGGTCAATCAACAACTAAAAAAAATTTTTTTAAAAAGACATAGGGTCTCTGGGGGAGTGATTAAGTCATGAGGCTCCACCCTCAGAATGGGATCAGTGCCCCTGTAAAAGAGGTTGGAGGCGGCTGCCTTTCCCCATCTGCCATGGAAGGACCAGGGAAGGCAGCACCTAGGATATGGAACTGGAGGGTATTATGTTAGTGACATAAGCCAGACACAGAAAGATAAATGCCGCATGTTGACTCATATGTTAGTGAGAATAAAATCAATCTCAAAGGCAAGAGCAGAATAATGATTATAAGAGGCTGGAAAGGTTAGGGAGGCAGAGGATAGAGGATAATGGGATAATGGTACCAACATTCAGTTAGATCAAAGTAAGTTCTAGCATCCTACAGCACAGTAGGGAGACTGCAGTCCACTACCAGATTCTTTATAAAAAACTAGAAGAGAGGAGTTTAAAGATTTCAGACACAAAGAAATAATGGAAGTGTTAATTATCCTGATTTAATTTTCCTGATTGCATCTTATAACATTACTCCATGGATACATACAATTATTATGTATTATTTTCAGGAATTTTGAGCCAGTCTTTAAACCAATTTTTCTCGAAATTGAACATAAGAGAGCATTTATGCCATGATAAGGGAATACTGAGCTTAGGATTTTAGAACTGTTTTATGTCAAAATAAATGACATTTATTTATTTTTTATCATTGTTGCTTTGTTTATTATTTATTACTGGAATATTTTAACAATTTAAGTTTTTCAGTGCATCTTAATTATACAAAACAATGGGGTTTTGTGGCACATTCATGCATGCAAACAACACATGTGATCATATATGATCCCCTCTCCCTGATCGTCTCTCCCTGATCCCCTTCCACTTCTCTAATGGTCTCCTTGCTTCTTTCACAACATCTTTTCCTCCCCCTAGATTCCACATATGAAGGAAAACAAAACCCTTGTCTTTCTGTGTCTGGCTTATCTTGCTTAACATTATGATCTCCACCCCCGCCCATTTTCCTACAAATGACATAATTTCATTCTTCTTTATGACTAACACTGGGTTGTGTATATGTACACCGCATTTTCTTTATCTATGAATCTATTGCTGGCATCTAGGCTGATTCCACAAGATGTCTATTGTGAATTGTGCTGCAGTAAGCATGGGTATGCTGACTGTAATTCTTTTGAGCATATAACCAGGAGTGGCCTAGCTAGATCTCGTGGTGGTTCTATATTTAGATTTCTGAGGCACCTCTGTACTGATTGACTAATGTATTAATCTACATTCCCTCCATAGGTATATAGGGTTCTTTTCCCCCCTGCATCCTCTCCAGCATTTATTGTTTTGTTGTTGTTTTGTATTCTTAGATGAAAGCCATTCTGAGGGGAAACAGAATCACAAAGTAATTCTGATTTGCATTTCCTAGATGGCTAAAATTTGGAACATTTTTTTTCATATAATTATTGACCATTCTTACTTATTTTGAGAAGTGTCTGAAGAAAAGATATTTCTGATGGGCTCAACAAACCTTTGGAGGCACATTAGCAGCATGAGGAATTTAGTCATTGCTGTCTGTCACCTTCGGACAAGTATCAGGATGGTCAGGATGCGTTTTGCGCTTCTTTGCATTGGATGATGTTTTAGTATATTTTAAAAATCGAATGAAAAAATACTTCGGAGATGGAAAGTCCTGCGTGGTGATAGCCACCCACACGGTGACGGCCGCAGCTGGCTGACTAAGGGAGGACACTCAGTCCTTGGGGCACGCGCACAGGTGAGCGCTCCCAGGCCAGCGGCCGGGCTGTGCGCGTGCGCACAGGTGTGCTGCCGCCCTCCCTGCAGCTGAGTTTGGCCACCTGCCCGGGAAACTTGTCGCTCTCGGGCGGGGACACGGAACCGGGCCATGGAAGATTCGCTGGGGACTCGCGAGCCCCGGGTTCGACCGAGAGAACGGGACCCGGACCGGCGCCCCCGCCCGGACCGAGACCACCACCCTGAGCGACCGCGGGACAGAGCCGGGGACCGGCGCAGGGAAAGGAATGGGGACGCGCGGAGGGACGGGGACCGGCGAGGGGATCGAGACAGGGACCGGCGAGAGGATCGGGACAGAGGGAGGGACCGAGACCCCCACCAGGACAGACACAGGGACGCGGGCCGTCGCTCAAGTGAGCAAAGAGGTTGGGAAAAGTCCCGCCAAAGCCGGACGCGGGACACAGCCCCGGGACCGACCTGGGACACAACTCGGGGACCGACCTGGGACACAGCCCCACCCCCTTGGCCCGGGCCTTGGGAAACCCCGGAGCCTCCCGCCCGGAGGAAGGAGAACTTCGGTCGCCATGCACCACAAAGGTGAGGGGACTGCTGGGGACACGGGCCCTGCGACCACGGGACAGAGCCGGGGACCGGCGCAGGGAAAGGAATGGGGACGCGCGGAGGGACGGGGACCGTCCAGGCCAGCCTGCGCTGCCCTGGCTTCCTAGGAAGCCCATTTAAAAGAGGAAATACCATTTCTCTCTTTTGTGCCCTCGGAAGTGACCCTGGAGAGAAAGGAAAGCACAGGGTGCCCCCACCAATCCCAGATAAAGCAGAAAGCACTCCTCTTGGCAGAGGCAGGGCTGGGACCAGGTAAAGAGGAAGAGGGCCCCGGGACAGGAAAAGCCAGGTTCCCTCGCGTGAAGCTCCTCCCTGACACGTTCCCTAGCCTATCTCAGGACCGCCTCTGAGGGCTTCAGACCCTGACTCTTCTAACTCTCCTCTTCCTTCTTCCCTTCCTCCTTTAATTCTTCTTCCTCTTCCTCTTTGTACTGGGGATTGAACCCAGGGGCGCTTTTCCCCTGGGCCACATTCCCAGCCAGCCTGATTTTTTAAAAAAAATGTTTGAGACAAGGCCTCGCCAAGTTCCTGACACTAGCCTTGAATTTGCCACCTTTCTGTCAGCCTCCTGAGTTTCTGGGCTTACAGTCAAGCACCACCATACAGCTCCTCCCCAACTTTCAAAGTCCTGGTCCCTGGTGTTCAGGTCCAAATAAAGTCAGCCCCATGAAGAGTTAGTAATTTAACATGTTACCCCTTTAGGGCTTTATGCATTTCAAAAACAGCTGGGAGAGAAGCCACACTTTTAACCAAGGAACTAAATCTACCCAAACTTTGTTCACGGAAGGACATGGATTTGTTTCCCTCTTGTCAGTGAGGTCTTCAAGGCAGCCTCTTTCAAATCTCACATTGAGACCCCACCTTCCTTAATGAACAAACTGTGCTATCCCTTCCTTGAAGAACAAGGAATTCCCATAAGCTCTGGTAGAACAAAGATCTTGATATTCTGGAAAGATCATGTGCAATAGGGGAGAGTGGAGATGGAAGACTCAGGCCACCCCTTGTCCCCATGTGCCCTTATAGGAAGCTAACATTTCATCCAAGTTCACAAATGTTACTGAATGTGCAAATAATGTGCCCAGTGCTGTGGACTGAATAGATAGGATATTGTTCCTGCCATCCCCAACAAGGAGGCACACAGATCCTGTGGCAATGATTGCCTCCTGCCTCCACTGTGGGACTCAAAGGCTGAGCCCAGTCTCTCGAAGTTGTGTCCACACAGCTGTAAAGCTACTATCCTGAGTTTATGTTACATTATCTAAAACCAACTAGTATGACAAAGGTTGCGCCCAGATTGGCACTAGCTATTGTTTCTTTGACTAAAGCCACATTGTACAGCAACTGCATGACTAGGAAAATCCAGGGCTGCCTTTTTAAGTTTCCTTATAAACTAGAGTCCCAGTTCCCCCACCCCAAAGTGAGTGAAGGAAATACTTTCATTTTTTGGCTTCGTTTGCTCACCACCAATTGGAGGTTTGAAACCAAAGGGCAATTTATTCCTGTCTGTTTTCTACGTAAGCATTTATTTAATGGATAGGATGGTGGGACAGGGCTGCAGAGATCTACCCTCTTACGTGTTCACGGCCTGGTATAGGAGAATGATGGGTAAGCAGGTCAGATGCAGCACAGTGTGAAATGGGCTGCAGGAGAAACTTGGATTGGGAAAGAACAGAGCTGGGCTCCTGCGCTTTCCAGAGGAAAGGACCACAAGCTGAGTTCTAGAGAAGCCTTCCGTGGAAGGTGTTTGAAGCAGAGGAAGTGTCTGCAGTGACCCAGAGGCATGGGAGAGCACATCATCTTTCCGGGTGAAGGTCAGTTTCACTGAGTCTGGGTCTGTGAGCCTGAGGCTATAAGTGTAGAGAAATAAGCAAAGTCCTACTGTGCAGTACTAAATGTTTAAGGATTTCAAATCTAAGATAAGTTCTGTGTTCTAGAAAGATCCCTGGAGCCTAGCAAGTAGAATGCAGCCTCCTATTGAATCTTAGAACCCAGAATGTGCTAGATAAATGTGGGAGAAAGAAGATGGAAAGTACCAGGATTGGTGGAGGAAGAGAAGATAGGAAGATCTCAAAAATTGTTTGTAGCTCCCATCTTCCTGGAGAATTTCCATAGTAACCACAGACAGAAGGGCATGCCAACCTGGACTCCAGAGTCTTGTAAATACACACTAGTTCTGAGAGGCCTGGTCCTTGCTGAACTGAGAACCTCAACTCTACAGACAGCTCCCAGCTCCCTGGTTAGGCAGCTTCCACAGGCAGATGACCTAGCATCCAAGGCAGCACTTAGGTGTTCGGGATTACAGGATTGGTCTTGGGGGTACCTAGCCATGTTGGGTCACATGTTTAGATGTTTGGTGGCATCACTAAACCAAAGAAGTCCCTGAAGTCTGAAATACTGTAGCAGAGCTTGTTTCTGTAACATTCAGGCCCACCGCAAAGAGTCAAAAGAGTTCTAATACCGACTGAGCCACTGAATTAGAGGCCCATTCCTAATGGCTGTGTGTGCTTTTCAGTTATAGTGAACCCACCTCGGGGAGATATGTGCCCTCGCACCCCAGGCCTGGACTAGAGGAAGTGGAATATTACCAGTCGGAGGCGGAGGGGCTCCTGGAATGTCACAAATGCAGATACCTGTGCACAGGGAGAGGTGAGCCTTTATGGAGTCCGTGTACTGTTTGCTGTTGCAAGTGGTCTGAAAGTGGGGGACAGGCTTTCCTTTGGGGTTCTAGTGTTTTCATTTCCATACCTATCTGAGGTTCTTGCTTTCCAAAAAAAAAAAGAAAGAAATAGAAACTATTTTATGAGCTATCATTCTCCAGACAAGAAACCAGAGAAATAAAGTGATTTTTAAGAATACCCATAGCACTCATATAAATATGCCCTGTGCAGAGAAATGTTGGACCCCTCGCATTTTCATCTCCATACCTGAATGAGGTTCTGTCTCTCCGAGCAAAGGAAAGTGTAGGACAGGCTGCTCTCCTAGAGCACTGAGCAGCCATGTTTGCAGTTTCCAGACTCCAGGGGGAGCCCCAAGGGCTGCAGGTGCAACTGGCCTCCCTGAGCTGCCAGGTGCTGGTGGGGGCTTCTCTGACAAGGTAGCTGAGTTTGGAGAGAAGAAAAATCACCCCAGTGGGCCATCAGGTTGCAGCCCAGACCACATAGACAGGAGCAAATGGTCTTCTTGGAGCCCTGACGCCCAAATACTTCATCAATGGCTTTTGATCATGCCATTGGCTGAGATGCACTGTAAGAAATACATTTTACATTAAGACCAAGTTCACACGCACTAACAAAAATGCCATGAAACTCCACTTGCCTTACTACATATCAAACACACTGGTATTTTCTGTTTTATTGGAAGCAAAAACCAAAAACCTATTTATTGAGTACATGAAGTCTGCAAAACACTGAGCTAATATTAAGTGTATTAAGTGTCAGCTCTCAGGGTTCTCATCTTAGCATGAGTCCTGCCCGAGCCAGCAATGAAGAAAATCTGGTTCATCAGGGTGAGCCCTAATGGCATGCGGGATTTGTAAGCAATCTTCCTGGGCTATGTATGAATTAGGGAGAAAACAGCCCAGCCTAAGGGAAGAGATCATGGAGCTCCTAACTGAAAATGTATCTTAGGGTGATTATAGGATTATAAGGAACTTTAATGAAGGGCCTCTAGGCAATCCCAGTGTAGGGATCATTATCTTAATTTACATATGTTGGTGCAGCCTCCTTGCCTTTTAAGTCTCTCAACAACTCCTGAGGCTCAGAGAGGTACAACAAGTCATCCAAAGTCACACAGCTGTTACATGAAGGAGCTCTGATGGAAATTTAGAGCCTGACCCTAAGTCCTCCAGTAGTTTACATGCTTAGTTTCTTCTTTTCTTGATCATGTAAATAACAGGAACAAGCCAGAGGCTGGCTAACAGGTTTCTCCCTAGAGACATTCTTCTTTTGAGATTGATTTACCAAGAGGAAAGGGCAGGGCTTAGGGCCTCAGACTGAAACAGACCCTGTGGTTTAGGCTTCATTGCTTCTGGCACTTTGGCTTTGAGCCTGGAGGTTGGGTTTCTAAGTCAAGGTAGTGAAAGAATAGTTCAGCCTCCAGAAACTAACAAATGAGGGCCTGAAAGGAACTCTGGATGGACAGAGACCCATAGAAATACACAATACGGCATTGTGTTGAGCGAACCGGGAACTTGACTCAAGCAGGAAATACATGCTTGGATCAAGGTCAGCTGAAGCTCTTTAGACCCACCTTCCAGTAGATCCTCTGACTTCCTTATCAGTGAAGCCATGCCCCACCCCCAACAGACTTGCAAAAATTGGGAACAATTGTAGCCCCAGATTTCTGAAATCTGGCTGAAATCTGGGCTGTGATCTAACTCAGAAAGCTCCATGGATTACTAGGAGGCCAACAAAAAGAGGCAGGCCCCAGATTTACTTTTACAAGCAAGAATTGTCCGATACTAAAAGCTTTTAGTATAGAGATCAGACTGAAGCCAAGTCACAGGCACATATCAGGCCACCAGAGAATCCTGTGCATGTGTAGGTTGTGCTCCTTTATTATTGAGAAAGACCAGTAAGCCCAGCAGGAAAGTGCATTTCCCTGTTTGCACCCCGCAGCTTCTCCTTTCCCTTTTGTTTTTTCCTTCTTGCCTGAGACCCTTGTGCTCAAATCATGGGGTTTGCATTCAGCCTCTCGCCTTAACTGCAAAGCACGTTTCAAAGGTTAATCTTCAGCCAGGCACTGGTGGTGCCCACCTGTAGTCCCAGCTACTTGACAGGCTGTGCAGGAAGATTGTTTGAGCCCACAAGTTCAACAGCCTGGGCAGCTTAGTGAGAGCTTACCCCGCCCCCCCACAAAAAAGGGTTATTTACTCCACGACAGTTGCCATTTCTGGAGTCAGTAGTGCTGATCTCTCAGAGTCTTGAGGTGTAGGTGCTGAGTTTGTTTTTCAGAGGAGCGATTTCCTGACAAGGAACCTGAGCTGGAGGAGTTGCCAGCACAGTCCATCCTGGGCAGGAGGGGAAGGACAGGGGGCCCCACTGACAATGACGTTTATTTGTGATGGCTCTGAAAAGGTTCAGGGTAGAAGCTGTGGTCGTTTTCTAATTTACGCTCACACTCCCCTCTTTTTGTGTGTTCGCTCCTGCAGTCCCCTTTATCCTAATGCTTATTGAACACCCTGTGCAGAACCTGTCTGCACTGAGATCAGATCAAGATTTCAAACTGCAGCTGACTTTAACAGTGTTAACTGATTAACAGGTCTGAATGCCATGGCCAGAGTCCAAGCAAGGAGTGACCCTAGGGGAACTGCCCGGGTTTTGTTTTTCTGGTTTTATTTTGTCTTTTGTGCGGTATTGGGGGCTGCATCCACGTACCCTACACTGAGCTACATCTCTGGCTCCTTTCATTTTGAGACAAGGTCTCACTAACTTGCAATCCTCCTGCCTCAGCCTCCCAAGTCACTGGAATTACAGGCACGTGCCACCCTGTCAGCTGAACCTCCGGTTCTTAGGGCAGAGAAAGGTGCTGGCTCAGAACCATATTCCCTGGAGTTCTGAGAGGGCTGTCTACCCCAAGGAAAGCCTGGGAGCCTCTGGGCTTTATTTTAAGGGTGCCATTGGCCATTTCCACAGCCCGAGGCATTCTTTTGTGGTTACACAAGTTTTTTTGTTTTTTTTTTTTAAGAGAGAGAGAGAGAGAGAGAGAGAGAGTGTGTGTGTGTGTGTGTGAGAGAGAGAGAGAGAGACAGAAAGAGACAGACACAGAGAGAGAATTTTTAATATTTATTTTTTAGTTTTTGGCAGACACAACATCTTTGTTTGTATGTGGTGCTGAGGATGGAACCCGGGCCACACGCATGCCAGGCGAGTGCGCCACCACTTGAGCTACATTCCCAGCTCTACACAAAAGTTTAAAAGAGGAATAAAGAGTTTGGTGGGGGCTGTAGTCCTTCTAGCATTCTATTAAGAAATTCCTTTCATACAGCAATACGCTGGGAAAGCCTAAATGTCCCTTACATTGCAATGATTTAATTGTGGCCATCATATTTTTTTTTCTTTTTTTTAAGAGAGAGAGAGAGCGCGCTACCGCTTGAGCCACATCCCCCACCCATCATATGTTTTTTAAAGTTATGAAGTAGATTTATATTTACTGAGATAGAAAAATATTCATGCTATATTCTTAAGTGGAAAAATAAGTCATACAAGAGTAGATAAAAGCAAACAAACAACAATAAAAATTATGAACATGTGGTACAAAAGTCCAGAAACTAAATTGTCCACCAGGCACTATGACATACACATATAATCCCAAAGGATTGCAAGTTCAAGGCCAGCCTCAGAAACTTAGTGAGACCCTGTCTCCAAATGAAAAAGGCCAAGTGGAATGGTGCATATCTGTAATCCCAGTGGCTCGGGAGGCTGAGGCAGGAGTTCAAAACCAGCCTCAGCAACTTAGTGAGGCCCTAAGCAACTTAGTGAGACCCTGTCTCTAAATAAAATATAAAAAAGGGGCTGGGGAGGTGGCTCAGTGGTTAAGTGCCTCTGGGTTCAATTCTAGTACCAAAGTAAATAAATAGATAGATAGATAGATAATAAAAATAAAAAATACTGGGAGGTAGCTCAGTGGTGGAATGCTTGCCTAGCATGCTCAAGAGGCCCCAGGTTCAATCCCCAGTACCATACATACCCACATATACATACTCACCAATATATGTGTGTGTGTGTGTGTATATATAAATATATAAATATACACACATGTGTATAATTAAAAAAATAATATATATTATATATAATGTTCACAGTGGTTAATTTATTTCTCTTATTTACATTTCCTTTCTTGCAATAAGTTTTATAATTAAAGAAAACAGTGATATTATTTGCATTTGGACAGAGAGTTACAAGTGAAGATGGCATTTCAATTAAAGAGTACCATCATTTCAATTAAAGAGTACATTGATGTCACACAGGAAATAGGCTAGCTGGAAGCAGCCAGGGAAAGGCCACTGGGCTGATCCCAGAGCGTACAGTGCCAGCTCAGAAATACTAACTTTCTATTGTGCTGAGCAAAAGAAGCCAGAGTTCATGAAAGTACAATACTGTATGATTCCAGGTACATGACATTTAAGATAAAACCAACTTCTAATCAGAGGAAGCAGGTCAGAGGCTGCCCAGGGAGGAGGAGAGGAGTTGACCACAAAGTGCTACTAGGGAAATTCATGTGCTCTGTATCTTGATTATGGTTACACTTGTCAAGACTCATCAAGACAGTACACTGAAAGTGAGACATTTTATTGTGTGTAAGTTGTATCTCAATAAAGTTGATTTTAAGGAGAACAGATACCTTCCCTAGTCCAAGACAAAGAAGCCATGGGCCCTGAAGGAATTGAACTCTGGGGAAATATTCCAGCCCAAATGATTACTCTTTAGGGAAACTAAATAAAATGAAATTAAACTTTGAGACATATTTATGGAGTTGAAGTCTAGGAGTAGTTTCTTTAATCCAGTAAGTATCCTAGAATCAATTAACTTAATCTTTGCTATTTTTAATAAGCGAAAAACCACAGTCAACATTTTTTTTTTAATGCTTACCACTGAGCTCACTCCCAGGCCCACAGACATTTTTTTTTTCCTAGTTGTTGATGGATC